GGGGGGGGGAGGGGGCTGATAAAGATATCCTTCTTTATGTAACCTGAATATATTTAATACATATCGAATTTGTATAACCTACACATGATACAATGGAGAGATGAAACCCAGATGGCCGGAACTTGTCCCCTCTGAGAGAGACAGACAGGAGATGAAGAGACCATAAAAATTCCACAGTGAGATGTGTCCTGGGAATCTCTGAAAAAGATCGTTCTAAAAAGGGGGTGGGTGGGGGGAATTAATATGTTGGCTCTTTGTTTTACTAAATACATATCAGGATAAGGGGGGGGGGGTTAAACTCCCTTATCTATCTCTGCATGCCTGAGAGATCTTAGATGCTGCTTTTGACCCCTACATGAATTGTCTCATCTCAATAAAGGATTCCTTTTGATACGTTTTCAGAAGTTCATTCTTGTTGATTGAATGGGAAAAGTTCTGTAGCCTGACATAAAGCAGCGTCTGCAACAGAGGTAAGCCCCGAGAGGAAATTTTTTTTTTAAAAAAAAAAACCTTCACTCTACCAAGAGGACCCTGCAAAAAAAAAGGAAAATGTCTGAGTACAGCAAGGACCAAGGGGAAGCCGAATGCTGGGGAGTAATGTCGACAGTTACCCAACCAGATACTGACTCGGTGCACCCCATTGAAGATAGCGAGGCTGCCTATGAGACCTCCACAAAGCCCCAGTAGTCTATAGGCATAGGAAAGAGAGACAGCTGGGACAGAAGAACTAGGAGAGTAACCCTCACCTGGGGTAATTGTAAACCTGGGTGGAAATTGGAGCTAGAGGCCCTATCGGATCAGAAAGGGAACAAGGAGCCACCAGCTGACGACCGACTGAGATGGTACATAAATCACCTCATGAGGGAAGCCCTGGAGAACCTCGAGGTGAGGGATGCACCAGGATGCCAACGCAGGAGAGCGAGAGAACCAGAAAATGAGAGAACCCAAGCCGCCACCCCGGGGAATGATCAGGCAGCGGGACAAGCTGAAGAACCAGCAGCCATACCAGGTACCCGACCCCTAAACGCCCCAGTACAGGGGATAAACCCTGGCCAACCCAGAGACATACAACTGCAGAGGAAGGTTCCACCCCTGGGAGTAAAATTCGATGGGGACCCCCCAGAAACTGGGATTTTTCGTGGCACAAGTCCTCACCTACATGCAAGAATACGGGCAGAATTTCCCAACCCAGGGATCCCAAGTATGAGTCATCACCCTGGCGCTTGAAGGGGCAGCAGCCATATGGATGGTGACGCTCCACAATGTCAACACCCCAGAATTAAGGAAACTCGACCGCTTCATGATGGCCATATGCCACTGCTTTGAAGACCCTCTCGCCAATAGAAAAGCCCGAGACCGCATCAGAGTCGTAAAGCAAAGCCGTCGCCTGGTAGCTGAATATACCGAGGAATTTCGTGACCTGGCTGGCCGAATTGACTGGCCGGAGGATATCCTAGTCTGTTGGTTCAAAGATGGACTAAATGATGACCTATATGCTGCCTGCCTGGCCCGTGGGGCCCCAAACCTCCTGCATGAATGGTACATGATGGCAGAGGAGGCAGAGATAGACATGATTCGTAACCGGTACTGCAGTGGCAAGTTTTGAAAAAGATCCCCACCCCAGGGGAAACGGGAAGTTTTCAAACCCCAAACCACCATGACTCCAAGAACGTCTGGTTGCTTTAAGTGTGGAAAGGAGGGACACCACGCAGCAGAATGCCGTTCAAAAAGCCTTGCCAGAAAGCCAGACCACCCATCAGGGGGGAAACCTGGAACATCCAGCCCTCGTGGAAAGGAGACTGGTCTGAGAGGCTGAGTAGCTGTGGGATTCCGATCACCCTGCAACCCAGAGGAAGAACCCCCAACGCTCTGAGGGGACCTGAGCCAGTCCGAAAGCGATCCGAAGATGACCCACTGGTAAGCAACCCAACTGAACCAATCACTCTACCCCTAAGACTGTTTATCTCCAGCCGAGGGAAAGGGGAGGAAGTTGCAGCATTGCTGGATTCGGGATGCACCCAATGCCTAATAAATCCCTCCCTTGCAGAGAAATTGGGGATCCAACTGAAAGAAATGGAAAATCCCATCGCTTTCTGCCAATTAGATGGAACTATGGCGGGGGGGAGCCAGCTAGGTTGACCACAGAAAATAAGACTAGGGAACCATAGTGAGATGCTCACATTCATTGTAGCCCCAGGAATGGAAGAGCCGCTAGTCCTAGGTGTCACATGGCTGCGGAAATGGAATCCAAAAATAAATTGGAGGAGAGGAACCGTACAATTTCAGAGAGACGTAGTATTTGCAAATAGCTCAGAGGAAAGGATAAAGAAAGGAACAGAGAACAGAGAGTCAGCCATGACTGGATAGTCGGCTGAACCCATTAACATCCCCAATGAGTACCAGGATCTGGCCCAAGTATTTAGCAAGGAAGCTTGTGATCAACCCCACCCCATCACGCCACAGACTGTGCTATCGAAATCCTACCAGGGGCTAATCTCCCAAAACCACAAATGTAACGCATGATTTTGTTTTTTCCAGGTAGACCTATCTGTTTTTTAAGGAGGGCAGGATGTCAGATCCATGTATCTGTCATTTCTTCAGTGGAAGAAAAAAAGCGGGGGGTGGGGGGGGGGACACTGATAAAGATATCCTTATTGATGTAACCTGAATATATTTAATCTTATAACGAATTTGTATAACCTACACATGATACAATGGAGAGATGAAACCCAGATGTCCAGAACCTATCACCTCTGAGAGAGACAGCCAGGAGATGAAGAGACCATAAAAATTCCACAGTGAGATGTGCCCTGGGAAACTCTGAAAAAGATCGTTCTAAAAAGGGGGTGGAGGGAATTAGGTATGCCCTGGGAAACTCTGTAAAAGATCTTCTAAAAAGGGGGTGGGGGGAATTAAAAAGTTGGCTCTTTGTTTTACTAAATATACATCAGGATAAGGGGAGGGGTTTTAAACTCTCTTATCTATCTCTACATGCCTGAGAGACCTTAGGCACTGCTTTTGACCCCTACATGAATTGTTTCATCTCAATAAAGGATTCCTTTTGATACGTTTTCAGAAGTTCATTCTTGTTGATTGAATGGGAAAAGTTCTGTAGCCTGACAGATCCACTTCTGTGAATATTTACATTCATCCAGAAGACAAGGTAGTTGAGTTGATTCCATAGAACAGCTTTGAGAAATACAATAAGCACAAATTGCTACATACTAAAAATAGCTAGAAAAAAATTAGGTGGTGATAGTTTTGCCAAAAAGTATTTGCTTGGTTCTCTTTGGGCACTATTATGAATTTAAAAAAAAATCAGTTAGAGATTGGAAACTTTTTTCAGGCTTTTTGCTTGGGCAGTAACTGATGGAACATAGAGAAATGAAATTTATTAGAACTCTTCTTGCATTTTGCATTTGTTTTAAATCTACAGATGTTAAATCACCCCCTTCTAACCCATCCCATCACAAAACATTAAAAGAACTATAAATGAAACTCTGGGGAATATAGGCTTGTGGTTGTTCACTTCTGACTTATAGTATCACACACGCATGCTGTATATAAAATTTCACACGATAACACAACAAAATAAAACAAAATGAGCTTCCATACTATTTTCTATAATGTTTAGCAGATTGTGTGTGTAGACATTAACTAATAACACTGTCAGCTTGCCTCTCCTCCAGCAACTGACTCTACAAATAAATCAGTCCATATAGAAAAGAGCCCCAGCACAGGAAACAAGTGAAAATTTAAATCAAGAAACAACTATCATGTTTCTGTGTATGAAGTTATCATGAATGAGAATATTAATAAAATTATTTTAATACAATTATTTTTAAAAATGCTTCAATTTTAACTTACCCATAGATTCTGTAGTCTGACTACCAACAACACGGAGAAGCATTGGCTGATTATTTTCCGACCTCTGTACTGAGGTAGGAGAAGACTGGGTTGTACCATTCACCTTTGCATCTTGAGGCTGAAATACCAGAAATTATAATGGTTAATTTTAAAGCTAGCAGTATGATGACTAGCACACCCATCACACAAATGTACTGAGAAGTAAATCTCACCAATTTAGGAAGGTTTTCAATATTACAGAGGATTTCAGTTTGCATATTTATATTTTATACAATCCTAGAGTACTACATTTTTATTCTGTGATACAATAAGTACAAGCAAATTAAATTTAAAAGCACATTATCAAATAAAAGAGAAAAGCAGGTGTCTTGCCTGTTCCAATAGCTGTCTTAGTCTATGTAGCTGTGATTCTAGCTGTTTGTTGTGATCCTCTAGGATCTGCATCCTGGCTTCTAGGCGACCTTTGTGTTGACGAAGCAACTTGGCTTCTGCAATGAGTTCAGCATCTCTTGGACTCTGTGGTGAATTGGGCATCATCTCAGGCGGGGATGGCAGTGGAGATAGTCCTTTGTGATCATGTTGCTGCTTCAACCGGTCATATTCTGCCTGCAGGTTTCTAATGAAAGAATAAAAATAAATACATTTATGAATATGCATGCTTTTCCATTCTATAGCTGAAAGTAACCTTTTAAAGCAGGGGTCTTCAAACTTGACAGCTTTAAGACTTGTGGACTTCAACTCCTAGAATTCCTCCTCCAGTCACGTTAGATCAGGAATTCTGGGAGTTGAAGTCCAGAAGTCTTAAACTTGCCAAGTTTGAAGACTCTTGTTTTAAAGGTTTAATTTGTACTAAATTAAAGGCTTCAGTCCATGAAAACTGTTATTATAATGGAGTTTCTGAACCAGGTTATTAAAAATCATTTTATTTCACTGCTATATTATTCATATTTTCAGTGCAAATGTTACAAGGCACAGTTAATCAGATTTGTATGGATTTCTTCAATAGAGACAGACATGCTTCTATAAATTGAAAAATGGCTCCTATGAAATATCCTTTATATATACTCCTAAGTGATTTAAAGAAAGAAATGAATTGAACAATTGACATAGGATGGTCTTAATATTTTGTATCGGGAGACAAAACTTGTTGCTTGTTATCTGTTTGCAATCAATAGTAATAAACATACTTGGAATAAGAAAATTAAGAAATTGAATGTAATAGCTCATCTATTGTTATGGTCTTTTAGATAGCAAATTTTACACTGAGGCCTCTGCATATATTCCCCATCAGGCATATAAAGGTGCCATATAGGTTTTAAACTACTTTTATTGGAACAGCAGAATCTAAGTCTGAATGTGCTTCCCTCTTCTTTCACTTTTTTGCTCATGTGAATTAAGGAGCAGATCTGTGTGAGACTTTTCTCAAGTTAGTTTTTTTGGAAAGGGCTGAAACTGTGCTTGTCTATTGCCTTAGTAGTGGATCCCCTCATTGTCATTCAAGTCAATTTTTTGTGCCCTCTATATCCCTACCTCATTGTGTGTGAACCTTGAGATATGCTGCAATTGCCCCAAGCACTCCCCAAGATTTGCTGCATGCCATTCAACTTCAGGCAGTTTTCTCTGGCTGCCGAGAAGCCCACTTGACCTATCCAAAACAGCTTGTAATCATGCAATGCCTTCTTTTCTGAATCCTCCTTGCACTGTTCCATAAACTTTATGTGATTTGGAGAACAAGACTTTGGAAGCTCTGTGAGAATGCAGCCAATTCTCTCAATGATGAAAGATAGCTACCCAAGGCTAGCACACCTTGGAAGATAGTATGAGGGGGCATTTCTCAGTGGCAATGGTGGCACTAGGGCTCAAGTTGAGGTATGGAGGTATGGCAGCTGGCTGAGACTGATGAACTGACTTTCACCTTAGCCCTGATATTATAGCTCAGTGTTGCTGTGTAGGGTGATCTAGATCAAGAGGAAGACAAGCGTGGGGATTTGGGCAGCATTTCTCAGTGGCAGCAATAATGCTAGGGCAGAAGTTGAGACCTTGGAATGGTGGCGGCTGACTTAAGACCTCAACCCAGCCCCAGTATTGCTGCTGATGAGTGCCACACTTCAGAGTTGAGCTGGGCCAACTCAAGCTTTGCACTGCACTACTGCACCTGCTGAACTTATGTGCGATCTATGCCAGGTGTTCCCCACCTCCCTATGGAGTCTTTACTTGGGACTCCATCTGCTTAACAATTAAGATTGTCAGTATTGCAGTAATTGAGCAAAGCAGTCACATGATGTCCCACTTAAAGACTGCTTCTCTCAATGACTGAGATTCTGGTTCTAATTGTGGTTGTAAGTTGAGACCACCCATAACTATTAAATATATTTACTTATACATAATTAAAGAAAACAATGCATACATAAAAAATTAGCAAACAATTTTCAAGTTCTTTATGGCAGCCCAAAATTTAAATTTTATTACAAGATTTTAAAATTTGTATTGTTGGTTAAGTATAATGGAATTACATCATCCAGACATTTAACAAGATAAATCACATTCATATGTAGAAAAGAAATACATCTGTTAAATTGGTAAATTACATATAAGCTAACTTCTTTTCTACTGTATTGCTTTCTGGTTTGAAAGTTATTTAGTATGTCAATGAATGGAAGCTTACCTATTTTCTTCCTCCAAGTCTGCAAAGATTCTCTTCAGCTCACTTCTTTCTTCACTTTCTAAAGAAATTAAAATCTGAGCAGGACTTTGAGGTTGACTGAGTGGTGATTCCTGGTTTAAACTTTGGCAGTAGTGCTGGATTAGCAAATGCTCATCATCTCTTTAAGGAAAAAAAGAAGAGAAGTTAAAATATAAATGCATTTATATATATATTCTTATTTTTCCTTGTCTTTCTTTTCTTTCTTTCTTAACTATGTGTGTGTGTGTGTGTGTGTGTGTACACACACACAAACACACAAATGGTGTGTGCGCGCACGTGCATACGTGTGTCTTGGCGACTCATGTTTAAGATCAACAGGCTTATTGCTATGTCCAGATACAAATTAATGTCACACCAGCTTGTTTTCTAAGAAGGAAAACAACATATGCAACCATTGCATATGCAGCCATCATACCTACAATCACTGTCATGTTATCACAATTTCCAATGTTCCCTGTCAGGGAACTCAGCCAGCAGGAATTTGGAAATTGTGATTGCAATGAGGTCCTTGCTTAATGATCTGCACGGTACTTGTTTAACAATGACAATCTGCTCTGCTGGAATTGCTGTTGCTAAACCACATTTGTTATTATACTTCATTACCGCACTGCTTGTAGAAGACCTCTCAGTCCCAATTACCATTGTTTCCTGAAGATTATCTATACTGTATTTGCAAATACCTCTAGATCAGGGGTGTCAAACTGGATTTCTTCAAGGGCCGGATCAGCATTGTACTTCTCCACAGGCCAGCTGGGGGGGGGGGGGAGAGATGGGACAGATGCCTCCTGCAGCACCCCGCTGGCCAAAATGGGGTGTGGGGGGCATGTGCCCCCTCCTGTGCTCCATTTTTGGCCTGGATAGCATCCTGCAGCACTCTGCTGGCCAGAACAAGGCATGGGGGGGGGGGCTGCATGCAGCTCCCTCGCACCCCATTTTGGCTGACAGAGTGCTGCAGGAGGCCCTCCAGACTGGAAACAGAGTCAGGGGGCCCCATACGGCCCTGGTGCTTCATTTTGGTTGCCAGAGGCAACACAGGCTGGACCTTTGCTATTTCCAGGCTGACCCTGCGGGCCAGATTTAACCACCCCAAGAGCTGAATCCAGCCGTGGGCTTTGAGTTTGACACACCTGCTCTAGATTTAGATCAAATTTGAATTAAGCTGGTAATAAGATCCAGAAACCAGTCAATATAAATTTTCTCTTAGAAGCAAGGCAGACAATATCTGGAGGGCCTCCCCACATTCTTTCTCTTTGTAGTAATAAATGAATGAATGAATGAACAAATAACTAGATTATTCCATTAAAGTTAAATTATAAAAGTCATAAATTAATGTTCAGCTAAATACTATTTACCTTAAGTTAAAGTTTATCTCCTTACATTGTATAATGTTTAAAAATAGATATTTAACAAATGATACTTTCCTCAAATCAGTTCATTTTAATGAAATGAAAATTAAAACAGATTCAAAAATGAAATTCTTTAGGAAATTTTTTCACTTTGTAGAAGAACTTAGCGCTAATATAAACACTGTTCCTGATCCTTTGTTAAAAAATTAGGAAGCAATAAGAGTTCAGCCAAAAACACTTATTTAATCTATTAAAATCTCTTTCTCTCTCTTCATTCTATACAAAAATAACTATTACATAATTACCATAAAAATGGTAATATGTGGTAACTGATAGAAACTCTACAGTCTCAGTAAAATGGATAATACTATCTTGATATGATTAAAAGTTTTAATAATCATATAGCGAAGGTTGCTTCATTAGGAATAAAAACACAAATATACATATCTGACTTTTGAACAAATAAATACATTAAAGATTGATCAATACTTAGAATTTTGTTTAGTCCTCTACTGAGCTTTGGAACAGCTTTGATGAAGGATCTTAATCAGCAGCTATTCCAGTCTTATTTGTGGCTTCATGAAAATCATCAGAATTTCTACATTTGATCAAAGACTATGTTTTTTTATCTATGACATCTGTTGAACTTTAAAAGGGAAACAAAAATATATATTCAAAATAGTTACAAAAATAACATTTTTGTTTCTCCTTTAATGCATTTTTACATAAGAAGGTGATGTCAAATTTCAAATATTACCTTCAATAGAGTCTGGCATCTAGTAACCTGGAGTAGAATTCTATGTAACTTTCTAGATACATACTGTGGATAATCTTTATGCTTAACAACTTACTACAGAAATCTGAAAGCATGCATATAAGTTAAATTTCCTATAATTTCTCAGAGGCATACTCACATGCTCTCATTAGGAGAAATGCTATCATTCATATATGTTCCATTGGTGTTCTCCATTTCTGCTAGCCTATGAAGAAAGGATAACACCTTAAAACTCACTGTATCTTCTCCTAATTAAAACTAAGAACAAAAATATAATTATGAGATCCTGGAATATTCACTACAGACAGACAAACTCTCATTATTGTGTAGGATTTCAGTCAATAATAAATTGTCTTCTGCTCAATGCACATGAAATGTAAAAAAAATCAGCTCTTTTCTTGGCAATAAAACAAAGTATTTTTGTTGTATCTATCCCTCCTTAATTTCTTATGAGCATACAAAAATAGTGATACAAGTTAGCCACTTATCTTGTAATATTTATGATACTAGTTTTGTAAAAATAAATGAATGTAGCCTTGTTTTATATTTTTTTAAATAGCAGTTCAATATCCTGTTTATCAAAAGCTGAATTAAAGTTATAAATTATGACCTATGTATTGAGTATTAGATACTAGGTGTAAATTATTATTTTGTTCTACTACATGGTTGTTCAGTAGTATATACCAAAGTATATTTCCAGAAAAAAACCTGCATAGTATGTTTTGAACAAAAGCAGATTACTTGTAAATAAAACCATGTGTTCTTCATTTCCTATTTTCAATTACTTAACATACATTCTAAATATCATGCAGTAATTCTACATGCAGATTAGTTAGCAAGCTGATTAGCAGAAATTAGTAAACATGCATAGGGATCAGTAAACACGTATACCATACATCTTAGGAATTTGAAATGTGCCTAACTTCATTTCTTAACATCTGAGCAATGATGATTGCGATGATGATTTACTTAAAAAAAATGTTTCAAGGAAAATTTCCCTAACAAGCCACCTGATCTCATACCTGCTAGCGTAATGCTCAATGCGTGAATGCGTATCATCATGTGAAAGCTGAGGGGATGAAGCAGGCCTACAAGGCAGAAAACACTGATTAATAATTGATTAATAAACACTAGTTTCTTAGAAAGGAAAAAATGCTCTGAAATCAGAGCTTTGCTGACTCTAAGAACAGGATTTATTTGCAATCTGTGTTGTTTTTCAAGCTAGGGCAAGAAATTCGTAGAGGAAATAGACAAAATTGTCTTTGGCAAAAGAGGTGTGCTAAGGTTTCTAAAGTTTTCAGATTGTTATGCCAGTTCTGTTTCCTATGAAATATTTTATACAAGTTATCCTTTGCCCAGTTCCGAGACATTTTTTTTCAGTCCATATTATGCAGAGACTTTGTTCTCTTGATCTAACATCACAAGCTATAGTAATTATTTTCTAATTTGTGTCAACTACTCCAATGAAGAGACCCTTTAGACCAGCGGTGTCAAGCTGGATTTCTTCGAGGGCTGGATCAGCATTGTAGTTCTTCTCTGTGGGTCAGTGGAGGATGTGGAGATGGGACGGACACCTCCTGCAGCACCCTGCTGGCCAAAACGGAGCATGGAGTGCTGCACGTGGCCCTCCGCAGCCTGTTTTTGGCTTCGATAGCCTCCTGCAGGACTCTGCTGGCAGAAAACAGGCTGCAGGGGGAGGGGCATGTGCCCCCCGTGGCCCGTTTTGGCTGGCAGAGGGACCGCAGGCTGGTCCTTTGATATTTCCAGGCTGGTCCCATGGCCCAGTTCTAAACACCCTGCAGGCTGGATGTGGGCTGCAGGCCTTGAGTTTGACACCCCTGCTTTAGACAGAATGAAAATAAATACCATTAAGTACTAAACATTGCCTTCCTATAAATGTGAAGGAAAAGAGCTTTATGAGATCAGAGAAGTCAGCTTGCAAATCTTTGAACTACAACTAATCTGTACACATCTTTTAGGAGAAAAGAAAAAAAAAGTGTATATGTTTATTCCATTTCATAAAAAGGCAATCCAAAGTAGCTTGCTTTTTCAGTTCATCATGCATATTTAGAAACAAACAATGGAAAATAATTATATCTAGTAAGGGAATTTAGATGATGAATTTAAAATGAAATAGTATCATAGTACCTTCCTGCTGATGCACCTTTGCAAGGGCCCAAAGATAAATCCATACTCCAATTCACAGGCAATGTCTTAATTGCTTGAATAACTGAATTTGTCCCCTACCCCCAAACTTTCAAAAGTTATCTATGACAAATCTGCAGTTGCATATCCAAGATGGGGGCTTCTGATTGCTTTAAACATAAAGATTGATTTTGTAGTTAATTATAAAGCAAGACCTGTAGAAGCTGACTAGAAAACTGCAATGGGCAATTAACTGACAATAAAGCTGGATACAGAGGCAATGAATTGCTTTTAAGTATGCTACAGCAAAATGGTTCAAGAGAGGAAAGTGAAACAACTCTCCCCAAGAAATGTGGATCACCGAAAGACAGGCACAAAAAGAGTACTGAAAAGAAATTAGGACAATTCCCAAGAATTGTTGAAATATACAGGTGAAACTCGAAAAATTAGAATATCGTGCAAAAGTTCATTTATTTCAGTAATGCAACTTAAAAGGTGAACCTAATATATGAGATAGACTCATTACATGCAAAGCAAGATAGTTCAAGCCGTGATGTGGCATAATTGATATGTAGGAATCACAATAATGGGAAAGACCGCTGACCTGGCAGTTGTGCAGAAAACCATCACTGACACCCTCCATAAGGAAGGAAAGCCTCAAAAGGTAATTGCAAAAGAAGTTGGATGTTCCCAAAGTGCTGCATCAAAGCACATTAATAGAAAGTTCTGTGGAAGGGAAAAGTGTGGAAGAAAAAGGTGCATAAGCAGCAGGGATGACCGCAGCCTGGAGAAGATGGTCAGGAAAAGGCCATTCAAAAGTGTTGGGGACTTTCACAAGGAGTGGACTGAGGCTGGAGTCAGTGCATCAAGAGCCACCACACACAGACGGATCCTGGACATGGGCTTCAAATGTTGTATTCCTCTTGTCAAGCCGCTCCTGAACAACGAACAATGTCAGAAGCGTCTTACTTGGGCTAAAGAAAAACAGAATTGGTCTGTTGCTCAGTGGTCCAATGTCCTCTTTTCTGATGAGAGCAACTTTTGCATCTCATTTGGAAACCAAAGGACCCAGAGTCTGGAGGAAGAATGGAGAGGCACACACTGCAAGATGCTTGAACTTCAGTGTGAAGTTTCCACAGTCTGTGTTGATTTGGGGAGCCATGTCATCTGCTGGTATTGGTCCACTGTGCTTCATTAAGTCCAGGGTCAACGCAGCTGTCTACCAAGAGATTTTGGAGCACTTCATGCTTCCTTCCGCAGACGAGCTTTATGGGGATGCCGACTTCATTTTCCAGCAGGACCTGGCACCTGCCCACACTGCCAAAAGCACAAAAACCTGGTTCAATGACCGTGGGATTACTGTGCTTGATTGGCCAGCAAACTCACCTGACCTGAACCCCATAGAGAATCTATGGGGCATTGCCAAGAGAAAGATGAGAGATATGAGACCGAACAATGCAGAAGAGCTGAAGGCCGTTATTGGAGCATCCTGGTCTTCCATAACACTTCAGCAGTGCCACAGGCTGATAGCTTCCATGCCATGCCGCAATGAGGCAGTAATTGCTGCAAAAGGGGCCCAAACCAAGTACTGAGTACATATGCATGCTTATACTTTTCAGAGGTCCGATATTATTCTATGTACAATCGTTGTTTTATTGATTGCATGTAATATTCTAATTTTCTGAGATTGTGGATTTGGGGTTTTCATGAGCTGTAAGCCATAATCATCACAATTATGACAAATCACGGCTTGAACTATCTTGTTTTGCATGTAATGAGTCTATCCCATATATTAGTTTCACCTTTTAAGTTGCATTACTGAAATAAATGAACTTTTGCACGATATTCTAATTTTTTGAGTTTCACCTGCATAATGAAGTCTTTCTACAATAGGAATCATGATTAAGAAACTATGCTTAGTCCTAAGTATTTTCATTAAGGACTTTGAGGGAGCGGTGGAGGGAATGCTTGCTTGATTTTACTGTGGTAATATAACCTATTGATCATTTTATCATTTTCTGTAAGGCCT